CTCCCCCCACACCCAACAAATAGATTGCACTCGAACTTACAATCAGAATGCCTTTGCAGTGTGTGACGAACATTTCTTAGTCAGCACACTGATGGTGAGTCGTGGATGGATGATTTGTATATATAAAGGTTTGTGGCTGCAATTTAGTGCGGTGAACACCAGGTTTTGGAGATGCCTAATGAAGCCAATCGAGACTTTGATGATTAACCATTATTTTCTCAAAGGAGTTGAGCGTCAGTGAGCTGCGTCTCACCTGAGCAATGTGCAGGATGGTGGTCAACCATTGGGGGGAGCTCAAGATGCACACTCATGTGGGTATGAATAGCAACACTTACCAAGACCTCAGATTGCTTGTAATCTTACACGGTGTCCTTGTCGAAGGAAATCAAACTTTGTTCCTGTAATCTTTACGAAGTGGTGTCACAGAATTTCAGGCAAGTGGGGAATAGAAGGGGCATTGTGGTTGCTGAATATTTCAACCAGCCATCCTTTCTGAAATGGCCATGTCAGGTATAGTGTGCCAAGACACCACCAACACACCATATATTCTTGCAAAGGCTGTAAAGGGTTCACCAACATAATTTACCGTAAATGTTATATTCTTGGTTCTTTCGGTAAAGTAACGTAGAAGGGAAACAATAAAATAATAAAAAAATAAAAAATAAAATTCTCACCTGATGATGATTGCTTATGTTGCAGTCGAAACGTCGTAAGAATCTAATTGTGTTATATTTTTATTATTTTATTGTTTCCCTTCTACGTGACTTTACCGAAAGAACCAAGAATATGAATCCCTGCAGTCACGAAAGCTTTAAATCAAAACGTAAATATGTTGTTTAGGTAATATAAAAATTTTCCGTGTTATTCGAAATTGTACACATGTTGCTATGTAATCCCAGACATAGCCAGTTATATATGAAAAAAAAATAACACATAATCCTTACTGTGTAGCTAGAAGGCAAAATAACCATAGATTTTGAGTTGTTTTTAAAAGGAAGACATTTTGTCCTTTAAGTTAGGCTGAGTATTGTTGATGAGTGAAAAGAGGTAGGACGTTTTGTTTCCAGCCAGTTCCAATTGCAAGGATAATTAACTGCATATGTAAAAATATAGCATTCCAGTAGAGATGTTTGTTATGGGAGTTTATACTTTTTAACGATAATATATTTTAACTTGTGTGACTTGTAATATATTTGAAAACATTTAAGAGCGGATATCGGTGTATTGTGATCACAGGAAATGATACCGTTTGTTTGTAGTGCTTGAAGTAAGAGGACCCTTTAACACTTTAATGACCCATCATTTCATCGCCTAACATTTGTAATTTTAATATCCTTCCATTGCTTCTGTCAGCAATAAGTTATTTTGGAAATCTATCAGCACAGCTGACCTTTTCCACGCCAGTGATGATGAAAATGACTTATCTATCGTGCTGGCTTATCAAGCGCGTCTCTGCTGTGTTCTCTCGTCGACGCGATGTTTTGGACTCCTGCAGGGTTTGGAAAGGTCACATTTAATGATTTTTCTCAGCAAGGAATGGTGGTGGGGAAACATTTTATTGAAAAAATTTTGTTTCTTTTTTTATATATATTAATAATTTGTGCTTAAAATTCCATTATGTGTTGTGTAATATGTGCTTGGTGTCGTGTTCTGGTTGGATTTCCGAAACATCTCGAGGCCATGAGGCTTTGGATTGGTGTGCCTGAATGCCCGTCTACATCTCACTGGGGACAATTCGGTATTCAGTTTTCAAAATCCCCTGAAATGATTAGCTGTTTTGGATGAAATCTCAATTGTATAATTTATTTTATACAGCGATTTATACATTTCATTGCAATCTTGAATTATTTTTTTTTAATGTTTAACTTTATATTGTTTTTGCTGGTAAAATCAATCTGCCACCTTTATCTGGGTTAAATGCCTGACAAATATGATTAAATGTTGTATCATATCTGAATTATTGTACTGGATTGTCAGTTGAACAGATGAAACAGAAATGTTCTGATTCATAATTTATTTTGCTAAATGCTGTTTGACAGATACTTTTACTCAACTTCGTTCGAGGTATTACAAATATCATTGCAAAATAATTATTTCAATGAAAATAAACTTTCTGGTAAAATAAGAGGCAGGGCAGCCTTTAGGTCAACACACCTCCATGAGTTGGATGGACTGACTCACACAATTAAAAAGTACCCTGTAAGGTTGTTCAAGCTAATATGTGTATGTCCAAGTGAAATACGCTGTTTTTGTTATCGTACATGCACAGTACCATTGGCAGATTTAAATCTCTTGTAAAGCACTATGGTTGTGAAAATGACTGTCTGACATGACACCTTGAGGTGCAACTTGAAACACGTTCATTGTGTAATGTTCAAGGGAAATGTGGCTGATTTTTTTAAACAATGATGCTAACTTGCCAACTAAAGCCTAGATTCTCCAGGCGTGTAATTTTTAGCAGGGACGCACTGCAAGCCAACCCGCAACAAACGCCAGTCCGATGCTCAGCTGGTTGTGCTTGAGTGTTTTTGTGTCACTGTGCTCCATGGCTATGATGCATGTGAAAACACATGTCTATTTTGTACCCTGCATAACAGAAGTTATTAACCAGCTTGATTGATTCCAAATAATCTTGTTCAAATGAAACCTTTGCACGAGTTGTATGTACAGTGAGGGAAAAAAGTATTTGATCCCCTGCTGATTTTGTACGTTTGCCCACAGACAAAGAAATGATCAGTCTATAATTTTAATGGTAGGTTCATTTGAACAGTGAGAGACAGAATAACAACACATTTCCAGAAAAGCGCATGTCAAAAATGTTATAAATTGATTTGCATTTTAATGAGGGAAATAAGTATTTGACCCCCTCTCAATCAGAACGATTTCTGTCTCCCAGGTGTCTTTTTTACAGGTAATGAGCTGAGATTAGGAGCACACTCTTCAAGGGAGTGCTCCTAATCTCAGCTTGTTACCTGTATAAAAGACACCTGTCCACAGAAGCAATCAATCAATCAGATTCCAAACTTTCCACCATGGCCAAGACCAAAGAGCTCTCCAAGGATGTCAGGAACAAGATTGTAGACCTACACAAGGCTGGAATGGGCTACAAGTCCATTGCCAAGCAGCTTGGTGAGAAGGTGACAACAGTTGGTGCGATTGTTCGCAAATGAAGAAACACAAAAGAACTGTCAGTCTCCCTTGGCCTAGGGCTCCATGCAAGATCTCACCTCGTGGAGTTGCAATGATCATGAGAACGGTGAGGAATCAGCCCAGAACTACACGCGAGGATCTTGTCAATGATCTCAAGGCAGCTGGGACCATAGTCACCAAGAAAACAATTGGTAACACACTACGCCGTGAAGGACTGGAATCCTGCAGCGCCCGCAAGGTCCCCCTGCTCAAGAAAGCACATATACATGCCCGTCTGAAGTTTGCCAATGAACATCTGAATGATTCAGAGGACAACTGGGTGAAAGTGTTGTGGTCAGATGAGACCAAAATGGAGCTCTTTGGCATCAACTCAACTCCCCGTGTTTGGAGGAGGAGGAATGCTGCCTATGACCCCAAGAACACCATCCCCACCGTCAAACATGGAGGTGGAAACATGCTTTGGGGGTGTTTTTCTGCTAAGGGGACAGGACAACTTCACCGCATCAAAGGGACGATGGACGGGGCCATGTACCGTCAAATCTTTGGTGAGAACCTCCTTCCCTCAGCCAGGGCATTGAAAATGGGTTGTGGATGGGTATTCCAGCATGGCAATGACCCAAAACACACGGCCAAGGCAACACAGGAGTGGCTCAAGAAGAAGCACATTAAGGTCCTGGAGTGGCCTAGCCAGTCTCGAGACCTTAATCCCATAGAAAATCTGTGGTGGGAGCTGATGGTTCGAGTTGCCAAACGTCAGCCTCGAAAACTTAATGACTTGGAGAAGATCTGCAAAGAGGAGTGCGACAAAATTCCTCCTGAGATGTGTGCAAACCTGGTGGCCAACTACAATAAACGTCTGACCTCTGTCAACAAGGGTTTTGCCACCAAGTACTAAGTCATGTTTTGCAGAGTGGTCAAATACTTATTTCCCTCATTAAAATGCAAATCAATTCATAACATTTTTGACATGCGTTTTTCTGGATTTTTTTGTTGTTATTCTGTCTTTCACTGTTCAAATAAACCTACCATTAAAATTATAGACTGATCATTTCTTTGTCAGTGGGCAAACGTACAAAATCAGCAGGGAATCTAATACTTTTTTCCCTCACTATATATTCTGTTGCAAATTGGTTTGCAGAAGAAAAAGTATTGGTCAAGTCACGACTGCATTGATGTTGATGGTGAGCTGATGTGGAACTGTAGCCTTTATAGTCTGGCAGGGATGCTCATTACATGAGCATTTAATAACAATCATAGAGCCAGTCAGTTAATTAGAGACGTATTGTTGTGCATAAACGAATCTACCCAGTCCAAGTTTTTTTTTTCTTTTAAGTTTTGTGTGCGTGCATGCGTGCATTTGTCCTGTCTGCTTTATCACCAAAATTTATTTTTAAAAAAATAAATTACAGATTCAATTGGGCAGAGGGAAGTGACAATCATTTGGAACAAAAAAAAAACCACTTTCCTCTGCAGATACCACATACGATGATGGAATGCTCTGAGAACAGAAATGTAGACAATCTTTGCGCGGCATCCACGCCGTCACTCTCCGAAGGCTCGTGCATGTTGAGCATTAATATTCTGCATTTCTCAGAATGGTAATCTTTGCGCTCCTGTTGGGAAGCATGTCAGCGCAGCCTCGTGCTGCAATCGCTGTGGCTATGCTCCCATCGTGATCTCATTTGACTTCGCATTTGTGGCACTTGCCCCCCTCTCCGATTGCTTTATTTCAGTGGCCTCTTATCGGATTTCTTGTATAAAAAAAGAAGAGAAAATTGAGTTAGAGCCATAAAGAGGGGCCCTGCATTTTCCATTGATGTGATGGCGAAATGCTTTATTGTTTTGCTGACCGTTTTCAAGGGCTTGTGTGGCAGTCCAGTCGAGGTGCAGAGTACCAGGGTGGTGTTTGGTGCTGCTTGTGATTTGCTGTGGTGCGGTGGTTGTGCCGATTTTAACGCACTTCTCATGCTTGCCTGCGTTTGGTACTTGCGAGGGTCCCTCTGTAAACAACAAAAAGGTCCTCGGTAAATGTATCATTTTATAGCAATGTGATTTCCTTTAGATGATATGTGGTAATACTGCAATTTTTTTTTTTACTTTGAGCACGTTAAACCTATTTAATCCTAGTATGTTGTCTGAAGCAGTTGATTAAAACGGACTTTTATTTTTACCTTTTATTAGCGTAACAGCTTTTATAACTCTGTATATACTCACTGAAATATCAACTTTCTGTCATACTTTACTTCGCTTTAACAAATTTAAGGTTAGTGAGTAAAATGTATGCAGTTTTCCTCTTCTTTCATTGATCTTAGTTGTGAAGCGTTTTAAACCAACCATATTTTCTTGCAGTAACCGTCAATCCAAGATGCAGTGGACTTGATCCCAAATGTTAACCAAAGGAATAGTCTCTAAAGTGAGTGGGGCTGTATTTGTCAACTTGCTAAACAAGTACTGTATGTTGCAACTGGCAATTAACTGGAATTGGTTTGTTTACGAGTCTTTTGTTTTTAACGAATCTGGAGGACATTTTCCACAGGAGGCTACATTGAAGACTCGATGTGTAGCATTAAACCTGCTAACCAACACCCTCAATGTCATGCACATTTAATACTGTGCATTATTTATCCACTGCTGAATGAAAATGCTGACTGCAGTGCATACAATCCTGTGCAGTTGCAATCTGTCTCGCTCAGGCAATTTGCCTAATTTTCAGCGATCTCTATCTCTTTTAGTCCCTGATGTTGTTTAGCCTCTTGGCTGCAAGACGAAAGTAACGCCATTATGATACCATATCCATATACGAATATTTAGTGTTTGTACTCACATTCAAGGGTGGTTGTCATCTGAACATTACAGCTATTGTCTTATCGTTCCTCTAGGGTCCGCAGTTCCTTTTGGAGGCTGCAGTGTGCTCGCGTGTGTGTATGTATGTGCGCGCGCATGGAAGCACTTTTTACCATGGGTGCCTTTGTATCAATCATACAAGCACATCGTAATACCCCGCACCCCCGATTTAGCGCGGTTGAATACCTACTGTGCGAAAGAAGTTCTACATACAAAGTGTGTCCTGGTCTTAACCTTGCCCTAAACGGTTGTATAACTGGCCTCCTAATTTTCTTCGTCTTAATGAAGGCCTTTTTATTGGGGGGATGGTAGGGAGGGTGATGGGGGAAAGTGTCCCTCAGTTTTTTTATGGCTTAATGACGTTGATCACTTGTGGCGGAGCGCAGTTTGTGCAGGCAATAAGCTGGTGCATGCCGGGAGTGAAAAGCCTGGCGGCTCGTGTACAGCAGTGCAATGGCTTGATCCCCCGAACGAGCTCGCGGATAATTGTTGGAGCCTGCCTTAAATTAACGTCCGAAAGGAAACGTGTTGTTCTTTTTGTTGTTGTTGATCACGGAATATAAAAGAGAAATGCGTAATTTTCAACAGTCATTGCTGAACAAAATGCAGGTCGTACAATAGCCATACCTTTCCTGAACAAAGTACCATTGGGTTTTTAAACATTTAAGTATATTTTCTTTTCTTTTAATCGGTCATATAAATGTAACATTTAAAAAAATAATCTTTTACATTTGGTTGGTAGTAGTTTTACACTCAAAGGACGAGGAAGTGTACATTTCTTTAAATATATTACCGTGTTTTTATCACAAGAAAAAGCCAGAGCAGATGCATTTGTTGGTTTCCCTTTCATATCCGGAGCAAGTGTCTGTGTTAACAAAGAGTCAGGTTGCACTATTGCTACTTTAAACCAACGTATTTTGTTAAAAATGTGATAGTCATTTATAAGCACAAGTGACAGGAGGTTGTAGAATATTCAGCTTCGACCGACAGACGACGGACTGTCTGTCAATTAAAGTACGAAGCATCATCTCTCATCGTTAATTTAATACGAAATATTGATGAAGAAAAGCTCATACTTTTTACAGGCAAGTTGTACACTTGTAGGCACTGAATTAATACCTTACCATTACATCAGGATTATGCATTCTATATTCTGTAAGATAAGTAAATTAAAACAAAACTGTACCTTGTTATTATATTCAATGATTCAATTAAGGTATAAAGACATGATTTTTTTACTGAAATGCAATGAAATGGCTCTTCTATATACATGAAGAGCTTGAATTCTAACCACAAGCCATTGAAGTATGTACACAGTGTACGCAGGATTGATTTACACAAAAAGCAACAGTTTATTATTCTGGAGTGGTTTTGATGATCCCCAATTTGATATCAACGTGCAAAAAATTGCATTTACTCGTGATGTAATATTAAGGTACTTGATCGAGAATATCCTCACTGCAATATCCCCTGATGTTCGTTATCCTTGTACGTGTGTCGGTGATTATACGTGTTCCTTACCCACAACTCGAGCTTACGTTGTAAACATAAAAATACTGAGATGCCCATTGTGTTTGTTAACCTCACTGTTCTGAAGTAGAGGAATTCCAGAGGTATTAATGTCCATCTGACACCCAGTTCATTGTCAACAAGGCTTCACAGTCTCCCTCGGCCTTTGATCGTCTTCGATTTGTTGCCCTGCAACATAAGTGCAAGCCGCTGCTTACGTCTCCACCGCCTGCGCTGCAGTCCAGTGTTTTTTTCTCCGTCGTCGTCTTATCACGCGGAGCGTTCCTTCGTTATTTCTCCCAAAGCTCAAGCTCACGTCGGGCTCCCGCGCATGTGAAAAGCCATCGATCGCTCGGGCGTCGGATGCGAGTGCCGTGGGTGGCCTCTCCCGAGCCCGAGCAGCGCCTCCTCCCTCGTTGGTGGCCGCTGGCAGGCCGGCTGGCGGCCCCGACAGCCGGGTCACAGCTTGGCGCTCAGGCGGTGGTGTAAATGTAGACGAAGATGATGACGATGAGGTTGAGGATGGTCCCCGTGATCCCCAGCATGGCCAGAATAGACTCCTCTCTCTCCTCTCTACGCACATTGACAATGTCCTCTTCCTCCACGGATAACGACATGCCCATTGTTGCTGTGGGTCTTCGCAGCCTCAGTCCCGAGGATGTCTCCATGAAACAAGTTGAAGTGCAGAGGTGGTGGGCAGAGATGGGCATGGGGAAAAACAACATTCTCAATAACATGCAATTTAAAACACATGACAGTGCACCCTTTTACAGAGTTAAAAAGAGCTTTTGCCTAACATTAAACATTTAGTAATGCAATCCTTGTTCAAATACATTGTATTTGCTTATACACCAAGTAGATCATTTAAGGAATGTCAACCAGATTACAGGTAAATTAGAAGTAATCTGCTGCTTTTAACGTTAACTTATTGACCCTATGGGGCCTGTGGTGAGTAGTACTTTGCATGTGCTGATATGCCGAGCAGTACCGAGCAATACTTTGATGTCTCAACATTATTCTCCGCACACATTAAGACTTAAAGAAGACACTTGCAGTTCTGAATCTGAACATTGCTGTCAAGCGACCAAAGCAGGGGACACCTTAGCAGTCTTGGAACAGCAGAGCGCTCACCATTAATTCATGCATACTGTCTCAATGAATAATCCTCTCTGCGTTTTAATAACGAAAGATAGATGAGCAACCCGAGAGAGAGAGATGCATTTTTTTTAAAGTACCTGAGCACTTAGTGGGGTAAACGCATCACCGCGTTCACGCAGTGTCTAATCATTCGTTCACGTGGCCCGAGCTCGCTGGCATTTATTGTCTCGTCGTCGTCCCCCGGACGGCAGAGAATGTGCAAATTGCACAGACGTCCGTCGGCATGCACGCACGCACGTGTGCCCCACACTGGGGGTGCGAGCTGTGGTTTGCCGCCTTCCCGAGCGTTACCGATTTGCCGTGGGGGGGGCGGGGGCGGTGGGGATAAAACACATTGCATATGAGACACATTGTAAAAACAAAAAACCCACGCTCACACACGGATGGGAAAGAGAGCCAACTTACCACACATTGCATGAGGAGCAGAGCAGCATTTGGCATGCTTCAGAGGAGGAAAGGAATGACGACGCGAGTCATGGTTTTGGTGGTTCTCTCCACAGCGGGGACGAATCTTGTGCTTCTTGTGAGCAAGTATAAAGCTGTTCTCCCGGTGAGCGATATACACAGTTTCTCTCCCGTCTTTTTTCTCTCTCTCTGTGTCTCAGCAACAGCGCTATGCCTCGCAGAGAGCAAAACACCCTCCGCTGGGAATTACCTCGTTTCGATGGCCGTGTCGGTTACTTGCCTGTAAAACATTCTCCGAAATCAGAGAGGGAGAGAGAGGGACAGGAAGAGCACAAATCCAGTCGAGGCTGGAAGGGGAGAGAAGAGGAGCGAGACTGAGAGGGGAGGAGGGGGAAGAAGAGATGGTGGGGGTGAAATTTGGTCACTATGGAAACGATGACTCACTGGTGCCACACAGCTGTAAGTGTTTAGAGCTGAGCGGCTGAGACGTGGTGTGGTGTTTACAACGTCTCATTGTTGTTGTTTTGTTAAACGCACTTTACCAACGTGAAGAACCTTGCCGCGGATTGACGCCGGAAATGTGCTCCAAATGTAGTTGACGGCTCGGCCGTGTTTCAGTGGGTGGGTATCTAGTAAAAAAATAAACACCAACTGCACTTGTGACCGACACGAGCGTGTTTCACCACCACCACCACCCCCACACACCTTCTTTGTTGAAAATCCACGTGGAGTCGGGGTCGCGTGCTCCAGCTGCTGAGTGGTCTCCTCTCGACGGCCGCAGGCGGCGTGCGCCTACAAACCAGCGCCGTGGGCAGGTGACGGCAAGGATGCCGACTGTCAACATTAGTCGCGGTCACAAATATTTATTCATGCTGAAGGAATCCGATGAGCTGTAAAGTTCTTTTGCCGCAGATGTTCCAGTCGGGGCAGGTCAGAACATGATAACAACAAGCAATATAAAGCACGATAGTGCACAGCATAGGGAAAGGTAAGAAAATGACAAGTAAATATGTACAAATGAACCAAACTATTTGTATTTTACCAGGTAAGGCCCGCTGCGATATTAGCTTCTATTTCAGAAGCGGCCTGGCCACAAATGACAGCTCAACGAAGTGGCTTGTGGAAATTTGTAGCAGCCCAAGTGCTCATCAATGATCTAAACGACGGCCGGAACGCCTGCTTGTTGCAGGGGGAGCACACACACACACACACGTGTGCCACTCCGACCAGCGAGCGACTGGCAAGTCGTCGGTGGCTCTTGTACGAGTTAATGAATTGTCATATTGCCGCTCGCTCACGAAGGTTCTGCTTCCTGTCAATCCTGACATCGTGCTATTACGAGTGCGTCGGTTTCTTTTTCCTAGCGCACTGAGATGCGTGTTTTTTTACGTTGTGGGTGTATTGCAATTACGAATGCAAGTTGTACTGTATATACATTAGTTGTTTTTACCTTCTGTTCGTGCGAGTATTTTCCCCTCCCTTGATTATTGTATGTCATTATTCTTGTTAACCCCGGAAAGTCTAAGAGCGTGCATTATCAGAGTTAGATCATTGTTTACCTATTTACATTTCGATTTGAAGCCTTCGCGACTGCAGGGATTCATATTCTTGGTTCTTTCGGTAAAGTCACGTAGAAGGGAAACAATAAAATAATAAAAATCTAAAACAATAAAATTCTCACGACGTTTCGACTGCAACACAAGCAATCATCATCAGGTGTGAAAACCACAGCAAGAAAATTTGAAAAAAGTGGCGTTTTTTTCTTGCTGTGGTTTTACACCTGATGATGATTGCTTGTGTTGCAGTCGAAACGTCGTGAGAATTGTATTGTTTTATATTTTTATTATTTTATTGTTTCCCTTCTACATGACTTGACCGAAAGAACCAAGAATATTTACATTTCATTCTGGCTTTTTCAATATTTAATCCTTGATTAACCCCGACATATTTTGCCGCGCATATTAAGCTATGCTGGCACCAAGCAAACTCTATAGAACAACACGATGCAAACAATAATCCATCCATGACGCTGGCAGTGCCGTGCACCGTATGTCGAGCGTGTGTGAAAACACGAGCAGGTTAATGTTCTGAAACCCAGCGGTGTCGTTATAAGAGGTTCTCCTTACCTGAAGGAGTGTCAACACTTTGGGCCAGAAAGCCATTGTGCATTATATTCCCATGAATTGCCTCGAGTATTTTAATGAGAGTGACCATTCAGCCAGCTGTCTTGAAACGATACAGAGTGGCTAATAATGAGGGATGACTGTCAATTGTTTTCTTTGCTATTCTCTCTCAAGAGACGTGGGCACATACAGCGCTGGCTCTTGTCCATGGTCCCAGCCGCCTTACAAATTGAATTCTTGGGGGAATATTATGGATTTTACCCCTTTTTTGCGCACTGGTTGGATGTGCATTTTTCGGTTCCTATTGTCTCTATAAGCCAAGCGCGGTGGCTGCAGTTGCTTTGGGCTGATGGAGTTTTCAAGAGTCCATTTCTTCATGCCACTTTCATCCCATAGAAGCCAGCAAAGCTTATTTACAGTTTTTGTTTGCCTTCACTAATGTTTGAGCAGTGAAGGTTATGTTTAAAAGTGCATTGCTGAATATGTACAGGAGCTTTTAAGTAATGTACCATCTGCTTTGTTGCAGGTTAACACTGTAGGATTGATGCTTTGCCGTTAAGTTGTTTTAAAAATAACGTGTACACAAAGCATTAACTGGTTATTGCCAAAATGATTTGATGGTATTTTATCTATTGTGCTCCCAGAGGTGGAAGGCTTGCCATATAACCATAGTAGAGCAAGTGATTTGGCATTTTTACAAGGTGTGTATCACGAAGAGACCTTAAAGCAGCTTGCTCCAACAGGAAGGCGAGTGTCTCGCGAGTGCACAAGAGGAGCTGAAATAGGCTCCATTTCATTACAGCGCACGGTCGGTATGCCTGCCAGTATGCTGCTGGGTACGTCACTCGGTGCGTAGCGATTGCCTTCCCGAAGGAAGCTCGTGACATGCGCTGCCTGCAGTGATATATTTATATGCACGGGTGGCTAGGTTGCAGCAGCATGGCCGTGTTGGCCAGATTCCAACGTTGGCCACACTGACACTGCTTGCAGGTGAATGGTGAGAATTTTCCATAGGTGACCACAGCACATTGTTTATTTGGGGGGGGGCGGGTAGTGTTGAAGTTGTTAGGGCACTACGTTTGAACCCCAGTGGGCCTGGCTTTGAGTCCTGCCCATGGCTTACATCGGCGGAGATCGATATCTGAATGAGACCTGGTGCTTTTGCCCCCCCCCCCCCCCCCCCTTTTTCATCTTCAACTCAAACTGACCAGAATGATGAAGTATGGGCATGATCATGTTACAACAACCGCAATCACCGGCACAGGGTGGGGGGGCCTTCATCCAGAAGGGGATTAACAAAGGGTTGCCAGTTATCAATTATTATTTACTTTTAAATATCCATTGGTTTCCGGTCAAGTCTGTTGCCATCACCATTATTAGTTACAGAATTCGATTCTCAAGGGATGTACATTTTGTCAGCATTGTCCTGTGGTTGTAGAGTTGCAGTGTGTAGAGCACATACATTTATAGTATGCATGAACGACTTTAAATTAAGGAAAAATGTTTAGTAAGTGATTTCAATATGTACTTATTGTATTACTGCCCAAAGGCTATATTCTTTCTTGCTTTCAGATAATAAATGAGTAAATGAAAGTAACTTAAAAACTCAAGACATTCTTTGATTGCACTGCCTTGAAAGGACAAATATACAATAAGCAACTTCTGCCAATGGTGTTTCTTCATAGTACACGTTTTTATACTTTTCATTTGATGGCAGTGCTATTGCTGAACATGAATTTTCGTTAAAATTTGTGCTTTACCTGCCAATGCAGTACCCCAAAATAACGTTTTTTATTAATGTAACGTAATAGATAGTATTATGGGTTTGTTTTATCTATAACGTATGCCTAATGCATGTACTGAGCTGCTGCTATGTTCTTGTGTGGTGTTGCGTGCATATAATGATAGAATGCTGTTAAAAAAATGCTTTTGTGCCGTGTACGTTCGGAGTTTAAACTAAGTTTATATATGCATTCAAAATGTACAGGTAATAAGAAATGTACAATTGGGATTACCTTTGTTTTGAGGGTACTAGCAACAGTGTGTAGGTGTTTTCTACATTTTTATGTGGGCTGTGCATCTGTATGGTCAATTTAATATTAACATATCATTAATTCTAAATGCAAGCTTATGCAGCATTATGCTTTTAACTTTATTATTTAAAGGGATCTCACCGAAGACGATAGATATGTGAACATCCTGTCATGTCTATGTATACAACTCGAGTGTCAAGTGTGGTATAGGTCTTTGCAGAGGTATGACAGCTAAGCAAAGGACTTTCAGACTGGAGATATCTTGCTGATTTCATAGTCTAAATTTGAGTCTGAGTCGTGATATAAAATCGGACGTGTGGATATTTTCCTCTTCAGAGATTCATGGTTTATAAATTATTTTGTAAAAGGTTGGTACTTCGGGCTATGGAGATGCCAGTGCCGAGTGAAAGGAGTCACGGGAGATGGAGGAAGTATGCAGTGAAATGAGGTGCAATGGAAGTGGATGTGACTGAATGAAACTAGAAAACTTGAAACTTGACTGAGAGAAGTGGCACAGTATATATGCATGCATGCAGGAAAGGAAATCCGAGCAACTGACGCCATGCATTAATGGGACTGGATTTAAAGGATTGAGGCAGTTGCTACATCTTGCTTCAAAAATGACTACATTTACAGGCCCACCGAGGGACATTGCCTCTCTGAAACTCAACCAAGAGTGGCAGCAGGGTAGTTAGTGTATGGGCAGTAGATGCTGGAGTGGGCACCGGACCAAATGGACGACTCGGAAGTCGTGTGGTTAGCATGCCAGAGTTCACAAACTCGAGCATTTATATCAACTACCTTCTCAGGGCACATTAAATATTTCTTTCCACCTACTTCCTTATCGGTAGAAAAAGAACCAAAACTCGGCAAGAGGAGGTGACTTGTACTGCAGTGTCAGGGCCACATTTCTTTAGGAAATATGGATGTCACATCTGAATTTATCACTAGGTACCGCTGTTTTAATTGGGCTTTATTTTTATATGCCTCGTGTTTATTATTGATGTAACTGTTGCTTTTAATTTGGATCTAATAATTCTCCCCTGGTTGAACCTAAAAAGGCTAATATGTCATGTGGGGGCAGATCTTACATACATGGAGAGATGAATGCTGGGAATTAAACACGACAAAAATAACACATGGATCTGAGAACATGCAAATTATGCATCTTTTTTACGGTTCATTTAAGTGGGCCCGGCCGGTGACATTGCTTTCAGGGATGACAGCCGACAGATGAAATTGTAGATTGAATTGCCACCAAAGGAGGAAAACACCTGAGAGAATGAGCACTGCGTTGGAATGATGAGATCAGCTCCTACACAGGAGTGAAATGGATTGTAGCATCATAGGACTAGAGGATGGAGACAACATCAATCACGGTCAATTATGTCTGTGAATATTGTGCGCAATATGAATAGCATTATTTTTCATCCAGCAGTGGATAGATAATGCTGTGGATAATTACAGGAATAGAAAAGCAAGAGTATATAATTGATGCATTTTTAATACACACGAGAGGGATTTTTTGCCAATTAATTAATAAAACTGATCATTGATATTTTATTTCCAAAATATTTTTTTATTGGGCTCTTACATGTAGGTAAAAAATTCCATTGACATACCATCTGTTCGGACCATGCCACAAAGTGGTTAAAAGCTGTTAACATTGGCCCAAGTATAAATAAGAGTTGCACATTTCCACGAAAGAAAATGACCTATTGATTGTGTCACAGATGCAGTACAAGTGTGGGTGATATGTTTTATCCCAAGCTTTATTTACGTCTGTAATTGTTAAAGCAATGCATGGAAAATATTGGACATTTCTTGTTTCTGTAGTGGTCACATGTTAAAGAGCAAACTTATAGCTAATTTATTTTAATTTGCTTTGATATCAACAGCCTCAGGGGTGGCTTAACATGGTGACCGTGACCATTACTGTGATTTTTCTCCCATGTAACGATTTTCCCTCCTGGCTACTTCAGTTGGCAAATAAATTAACGCAGTTGCGCATTACTTTTTTGCTGTTTATGATTACTCTGCTTGAACCACGGCACAGAGGAATGATGGACACTTAACAGAGTAACAGCGTAGTGCTGATCGTAGTGTAATAGCCCTTCAGTGTGTGTGTGTTGCTGCCCTTGCCCTTGCGAAGCTAATTCGCGAATATTGCTGCCACCTTCCAAGTGACCACGTGCCACCCCACACCAGCAGGTGGAATGGTGCACTCACAAGTGGCAAACACAGCCACTCCACTCGTGGATAGTGGGCTGTGGAATTGTAGCCAGTTTCTCTACACCGATGCCGCCGCCCACTGGTCCATTGTTTATCTTAACATTTAGCAATTCATCTTCTTTGGTTCTTTCAGTAAAGTCACGTAGAATGAGAATAAAATAATAAAATAAAATAACACAATAAAATTCTCACGACGTTTCGGCCACAACACAAGTGGCCTTCAGGTGAAAGGAACAA